ATTACCTCATGCCATGACGTATGATAGTATTTTTACACACTGCGTATCTTACTCTAGATAATGCGTATTTGGATAGCAACGCATTAAATGTGTTACAACCTACTGCATGGATACCGTTATTAGATGCCACTGAACTCAATGGATGTATGAAGGTACATAATTGTACTTTTTTTTATCGGGAATCAAATGCAAATATAATTATTGTTGCATCTACAATTCGCATTGCAGACTTAACCAAATGACATCACACCTCCGTCGTACAAACATTTGCAGTAGCGGGTTTGCAAATATTTTTATTTTGAGCCAGGTTGCCAGGGGAGGTCACAAATCTGGGATATTAGGCAAGCACATAGCCTGTGCTGGTGATACGTGGTATGTTTACATGACTGAAGAGGAAATGGTGAAGACTCTGGGAGTCAATATGAAGGAAGATATTGTGACGTGTGAAGTGCCGTATGGTGGGGTTCTATTTATAAATAATATGATCCCCCATGTAAGGTAAGCAGTCATACCTTTTTGTAGACAGTAGATTCCTTTACATCGCCGTTTGCTGCGAAGTTGATTATTGTGAATATAAAAATAAAAGCACTGCAGCTATGTAAACAACCTCGAAGTCCTTAATGTCTGCGCTGATGACACGTGTGCAATGTGGTTTATTGATGATAATATTTGGTGTTGTGGTCGTATATATGTACATTTCGTTCATTTGCACATATTATTTCTTCATCATCATAGCCTCGAAAACTATTCTAATGACATAAGATGGAGCCTCGATCTGAGATGGCAGAGACCTGACTTACCTAATGGATTCTATGGTTTGAAAGATAATGTATTGATGCGAACCAGTGACAATCCTAACATGGAAATCGACTTTGATACGTTTGACAAAGTGGACAGAAATAAAATATTGGAGGTATGCAATTAGTTTTGTTTGTTTGCCCAAGATACCCGAGCCGGCGCGTCATGTAAAGTAATGAACGTAACCGTAAGCTTTTCGAATAATTAATGAACATTTTTTAAAACTGATCAGCAAACCAGTTACCTGTAAATTGAATTGTGTGTCGCCATTTCTCATATAGGCACTTGTTTGCAATCTGTATTAATTATGAACAGCACATGCAACTATGAAATTGAAGTCATAACAATTCAAAACTTTCACTAAATATATTCTCGACCCGTTTTTGAGTGTGACAGACTTGAAAAAAAATTCCCAGTTTCACAGCATGAAGTGCACTTTAAAAAATATCACAATAAAAAAGTTACTTTTTAAACAGATAATGCATAAAAAGTTCACATTATTATATATACGTTTCTTTTGCAGGACACTGACGAGTTTGATACTACTATACCAGGTCCGTGGATGACAAGATGGGGAGTAACTCACCACAATAGACATACTGCGAAACTTTTGGAATCTCCCGGTGCAACAACATGGCATAAATCTTGAATGCGTATCGATATACGGAATAACTTAATGTATCACTGATAATATGTGTTGTATCTTTTAATTTAAGGAAATTTACATTGTAATTTTTTCTGAGAGGTGTTGATTTTATTTTGTAAGTTTCTCATGCAATGTATATTTATGCGCAATGTTACATAACACTTAGTTACAGTCAGTTGATTGGCTATGTTATGGTATAGTGCCGCCATGTCGTTGGAATGGTCTACCTGCTGTGGGCACGGTGCATGTACTGGAAAGTTGATATATTTCTATCAAATGAGTCCGGGTTCGAATTATAGGTCAGATTTTAAAAATAAAAGTATTACATATTTGTTATCACAATTGCTGCCAATTTTGAAATTGATCTGCGACATTAATAGTTGTAAGAAACGATAAAGAGCCGACACAATTATATGCTGGGAGCGACGTTTAATCTTAAACGAACTGTAACTGACTGACTGGCTTGCTATTAACTTGTTGAATAATTACGTTATTCTCGTGTATGTTCTACAAGAATCAGTAAAAAAAGTCCTCTATACGATGAATGGTTTCAAAATAACACAAACGATTACTGAAAGATGATGATAAATATTTTGGTAATTGTAATGCATTGGTGATACAGTGGTTTTAATTTTACGCGCATAAACGATCCATAATTACATATATTTATTCATACAATATAGTTGAATAATTAAACAAAGAGTACATTTACTAATTATCCTGTGTTTTTTTAGTTATTACATTTTAGCAAATAATACATGAATGTTTCTGTGGTTTTCGTACTCCCTGTAGAGAGAATGTGTTGTTTTCATCTGTGTTGTATCTAAATAATTATATGACTGGTTTGATTTGAACTTGAAAAATCTAGTCTTTACATGCCTATTATTTTGTTTCATAGTCTGATCAAATGGGTATCCGCACATGTCTAAGACATTCTTTCGAGTAGATTTAAACTATTCAGATAATCAGGGTTTAATGGTTTATAATAAAATAAAAACAAAAACTGCACTCTTGTTTTCACAGTGATGCAGCATGTTTACTGATCTTTTTATCAGTGTAAATGTGCAACTTAAAAGGTCCACCAAGTAAAATTATAAAATAATTTTATACAAAATGGCGGTGCAAATTTCTATTTATTAATCCACAAATTTAGTTGAAATTTACATTGTGGCGGCTATATTCATTGTGATGCGGTAAAATGAACACGCATGCTCAGTATGTTTTCAGACATTATGGCAAATCATTGTTAAATCAATCAAGACCCAAAATATAGTAATTCGCCGGGTCATATGAACTTTAGAATAAAGGGTAATGCCTATTTTAAAGTTATAAATATAATACGATAATACGAACAAAGATGACCGATTGGGGAGGGGGGCATTCTATGTTCAGCAATGTATCCGCATTTTAGTCGTGCTTCACAAAATTGATTGATATTTGGCATTTTGACAAGACAATATTAATTAATGTGTAAATTAAGAACAGACGCGGGTTACTAGTAAAAAAAAATACGTGCAAACATTCCCTCTTTTGAATGCTTAGCAAGCTTTAGCAAGGCTGTACACAAATAAAAAAAAAAAACATGGTGAAAAAAAGAGGGGATCTCCATTATGCACTATATTTAACTTTTAACAAAATGATAATACAATACGATAATTTGGAACTGTTACAGCCATTTTAATTATGGGCATTAGCAAACTTCTTACCGAGGAAATTGTTATGCAAATTACAATTATCTCAGCTTCTTTTTAGTGCACGTCCCAGAACTTTAAAAAAATAGCTCCTTGACGCTTTGACCTTTTGTTTTGAAATTTTTACAAATGATTGACAATGTGTTTATCTTCAAAACGCCGTCGGGACATTGTTTTTGGTTGAACAGTGTTACAACAATCGTACAGACAACTAGCCTTGGTGTTAATTTATGCATGAACTTGAAGTAGTGGAATTTGAGCTGCCGCCCTGCAAAATTGACAACCGGTAGACAGTTTTCAAGACGGCACTTTCTTCATAGTAAACAGATGTACCCATAAACCAATTTTGACAGGAAACAGAAGCATGGTTTAGAAGCTATTTTTTTTAAATCACTTTTGACCAAAAACGCACATTTTTGTGCACATTTCAAACTACAGTGTCCATAAAAACATACTAAAAAAATTTAAATTCATACAATAAGCTTTCCGAAAATATATAGTTTTGTGGACAATGGAGGTTATCTTGGTTTCCTAATTAACTAGTTAAAATACCTGTCAGGTAAACTGCATCTCTACCTTAAAGCATTACTCATTGTTGATGTGTTGATGAGTAAAGGCTCCATCAAACAAATAAAACAAAGAAAATACAAATCGCGAGTAACCAAATCTGTTTTTATGCAAGCAATCACTTAGTCAGCCATTTTTTAAATAAATAAATAAATAAATAAATAAATAAATAAATAAATAAATAAATAAATAAATAAATAAAATATATGATAGTTGACAACTTGGAACAACTTCATAAGTTATATATAGATTCATGAACTTGTTAAACTTAGACCTGTTTCAGTAAATTGCTTTCAAGTTAGGTGCAAATTCTTACATGTTTCGACTTTGTTAACAACTGACAATGACACACAGGAATCATTATGATATATTAATAAATTAGAGTTTATACATCAGTGATCAACTGATGTCACATTTTATTTCAACCTTTAAACCCTGAACCTATTTTGTTTTAAACATAGTCTTGTTGGAGCTTCAACGAATTTGCACCAATCGCCGGCCACTCGTCGTGTACTGCAGTGACCTTTGTTTACTACCCATGATTCTCTGTTTTCCCATGACGTCATGACCTTATAATAACATGGCGGAGTACAGTTTCTAATGTTTGTTGCTTCTTGTCCGATCTGAAATTACGTGAACTTCTAGTTATAATATTGGACATATTAGGATTCGTACATGTGGGGTGAGTATAATTGCTTTATTTGGGTGTCATCTGTAATTATTGTTCTTCGATAGGTATCGTGGCTGAGACAGTGTGCGTTGGCGTTGAATCGGTCTAGGACTGTAGTACAGATGTACTGTAACGCCTGGCGATGAACTGTCTGGTTTGCGTTACGGCCCGTGTGTTTGGCTGAGTCCCACTTTTTTGTGTGCTTTTATTCATTTACGTGTTCTTTATTAATCGAGTCTATCCCGGGTGTCGATCACCCAGACTCTGATCCAATTAACGCGCACTTTGTTTGAATACATTGAAAAGGTGCTTTTTCGTTGAGCTTGTTTCTAAACAAAGCAACAGATTGGTTTCGGGGCGAGTTCGGTTGTACTTGCGTGTGTATGTAGTCTGATCGCGGAAGTTCAAACGAAATGTTCGTATATGGCTTGATCATACTGTAACATGCAATATGGATGGTTAGTACTATTGTATGCAGCGCTACCGCTGTTTTAACACAGCTCGTTCGCATATTCGCGGCATTTCACGTTGTATTAGAGCGTCGATACAATATGGAGCGGTATGCCTGAAGGTTTCGGCATGAATTTCGTTTGTTTGCCGGGTAGGTCGGGAAACCACGCCACTATAATGTCACATTCGATGGGATGTCATGAGTCATATATTGTCGGCTTGTTCTGGTATCCAGCGGTGTGGATGTTATAAATATATAGTCCATTAGTAATAGGACATTATGAATGCATGTGACCGTGATTCGTATTATTGTGTACACTAGTATTGTACACACCCAACAAGTTGTTATTAAAATAAGTTAAACAGGAAGTTCCCTTGATCTTGTTCAGTTATGTAGATTTTCAGTGTTTCCTTGTAGCTACTTTATACACAGGCAAATAGTTTGTGTCTCTAGGAACTAAAGTGTATTTAATTAAATTTGAGAATAGAAATGATAGTTGTTGTATTTAGTATGAATTAATTAGTTAGTGAATAGAATTCTTTGATGTGTGCAGTGAGTACAGTGGGTTCAGAATAGCGATTTCAACAATTTTATTGGTAGTTTATAACACATATTTTATCGAACATTTCATTCAAATCTATTTGTTGTTGTTGTATTGAGTATGAATTAGTGAATAAAATACTTTGATGTGTGTAGTACAGTGGGTTCAGAATAGCTATTTCAAAAATTTTATTGGTAATTTATAACATATTTTATCGAACATTTCATTGAAATCCATTTGACACAACAGTATTGGCTATAATAATTCATACATACAAAGTAATAGTATATTTACATTGTTCCATTATGTGCCACAAAGCCAATCATATTCTGGTTGAAACGCCTATTTCAATTGATTGACAGCTGCTTTAGAACACACTTCCTGATGCAAACGCGTAGACCGAATTGTCCCCATTTCAGGTGCCTGTATTCATCTGACGATAAGGCGAGAATTCAGTTTGGAATGTAATTTGTCAAATTTATAATTAAAACAACATTTAATAATAATAAATAATAAATTAATTAATAATTATAAGAATTTCTGAAACCACTGTATATGGTTATAGAATATCCATCATAAAGAATGAAATATTTTTATCATAGCAATCACACTGATACTAAACATGCTACAATTACCAATTAGTTTAGTAACTTCCCAAGTAGGGTGAAAATAACATTACGAAAATTCACAAAATTGTTAGATTTATGTAACAAATTGACAAGAGGTACCATAGGTAATTAGATATTTGAATGTCAGATATTTGTCTCGCTCAAAATTCAGAGCACATACTTTCACATTCAAATTTTCACTAAATTTTTTCATAATTTTAGACCATACAGACAGTTTAAAATGTTGCTTGTAGTTTTTGATCAAAAGGGTTGTCATTTTTTATCAACATTTTGTGTAGACAGGAGCTGAATGTACAAAATCAATTTGTAGATAATGCCAAAAGTTTACAATGACGCTCTAAGGTTAATCAATATGATGACATGTACTGTGGAATACTTTATTTTCGCTGGAATTAATTTTCGCTGAAAAGGCTTTTTGGGCGTTTTGTATGGATTTTTGATGAGTTTAATGTGA